GAAAGAAAAAAACCAGAAATATATGAAGAAATGACTTCTCTCTTCATTACAAGTATAAACTATTTTAGAAATTTACCACCTTCTCTTAAAATACAACAAATGGTCTCTTCTTCCCATATTCCATGTCTTATCTATAACTAAATTCTTAAAAACTTGTCATTTTAGTCCTGATCAGAGATAATAACATATCTATTTTTTTCATCTTGATAAAATAAACTGAATTAATATTATTTTTCTTTTACGTTTAACAATCTTGATCTTTAGTCCTTTCAAACAATATCCTAAAACTTGATTTTTCTTTTTTGTTCGTTTTCTTTCATTTTCTCTTCAAGGCTTTAATAAGACTCTTTTGTAATTCTATTATAGGTAAATTATCCAGGAAGCTGGACTGTTATTTGTACATTCCTTTTAATTTTTAAGACAGCAGTCAGTTTCTTTTCTATGTCCAGTGTCATATCTTATTTCATACCATTCTTGTAGCCTGTCATTTTAAAATCTACTTTCAGATCAATTTTAGATCCCAGAGATCTAAATCTATCAGAGATCACTATCTTGTGGTCTCCTTTTAAGAAGCAACTATCTGGAGCAATTGTGTGTGATCTCTTCAGTCCACTGTAGTTGTCAGCTTTCCTTTCAAAAGAGCTGCTTTTAATCTGCCATTTTTTCCCTGGAAGTCTGAATCAATGTCAAAAAGGTGGTCTCTAAGCTCAGGCTTTCTTCATAGAAAGTCTAGTTCTGTGGTGGCAAACCTATGGCACGTGTGCCACAGGTGGCACACAGAGCCCTCTCTGTGGGCACACACACCCTCACCCCAGTCCTTCAGCTGGGTTTTATAAAACCTTTTCGCTTTAGGCCTCCGCTGCCGGTTCAATCAATCATTTCAACTTCTCACGGAAAAAAAAAAGATCTCACATAATTGGAATTGATTGATTGAACTTTTTAGTCCCATCCAGTCTGCCGTTACCACCGCAGCCACGCCCATACAATGGGTCACGCCCACCTGGTACCCGACGATACATAAGTGAGTTTTGGGTTGCAGTTTGGGCACTCGGTCTCTAAAAGGTTCGCCATCACTCGTCTAGTTCAAAGCACCTTAAGATATTTATTTATTGATTTTATTTATAAAATTTATAGGCTGCCCATGTTACCACAAGGTAACTCTATTCCTCTATGAAACCCACACAAGACACTGTCGGGTACTATGTAGACATTACTGATCTGGCTAGGCCAATGGCCTGGGTCTGAAATGAGGCATGCACATGTTGCAGCAAACTGTGGTGTGTTTAACCATGTTTTGTTAAATAAGCCTACATTTATAGGGTTCACACAAACATGATGTAAAACAGTGGCTAGGTCCACATAATGTTCACATAAAAAAAGAAACTGCAGAACTGTACATTGTGAACCTTTCTATATGCCATTCCTGTATGGATGCACAGGTGATATCTCAGGAGCCATTTAGAGTGCCATCAAAAATCTGGCTGGATTTGAGTTGATTGGAAAGAAAAACATATATTCAAACAATTACACAACCTCTCCAACTGATTCTTAGCTCCACATGGCTCCACATAATGTACAAACCCAGAAGCATTTACAGGAAATCCAGCTGTGTATGTCTCTTGATAAATAGCCCTAATTAAGCATCAGAATATACCATGTATATAATACAGCAATAATTCATACTGTTTGTAAGTTGCTGATTTACATCTATATGCTCATAGTGCCTAGAACCTTTTTTTAGGAAAGCATCTCCTGGCACTGGAGCAAATGAGTGATGGCAATACTTATGCAGCAAACATTACATAGCTTTAAAAATAACAAATTTAAAAACTTGCATACAGTGGAGACTTGAAGCAAATGTGTATGTGTGATTTTATAGGAGGGACTGGCATCCTATTACAACAGATAATGAATTCTATTCTAATGAACTGTGAGCATTTCTATTCTGCAACAGAAATGGTTATAACAGGAAATATGTCTTAATCCCTTCCTAGGAATGAAGTTGTTTATGACATCACAGAAATAGAGCCACCAACACTCTGTGAATTGCTCTGATGTTTCTTTATTTATTGCATTTATATACTGCATTCATCCAAAGAACTCATGGTACCATATGTGCCATAGTACCCATTCCCAAATTATCTGAACATAGGGTGGAATAGGCTGGAAAAAAAACCTGCTCAAGATTCAGCCAGCTCCCTAATTATACCATGACACATGAAGTATGGGGAATATTTATTTGATAAAAATGTGTGGTTAAAAATTCTGGCTGTTTCCCCCCCCCCCAAATCTAGGCTGGGATCTGAGTGGGCGTTATTTGTAGAAGTTAGTAGGGATGAGGATAGTATTCACAAATCTTTGCCATCATATCCAAAATTGTAGTCCCAAACTATATACTTCCAATTTAGATCAAAATGATGCTATTTAAAAATGTAAGAAAGTGATGAAAGCCTAATTTGTTCCTCCTGCTTCTCAAAAAGACAGGCCAGCAGCTTCCTCCGAGGAGCCTCTAAGAAGCCTGTGAGCTGTTAAGACCACATATCCTTTGGACAGTTGCGTCCTGCAATATGGCAGCCCCATCGGCATGGGCAGAGTGCAGCCCCAGGATGTCTGGAAGGAAGCCCTTGCCTGGCCTGGGCCCATCCACTTGATGGATCTGACGGAGGCTGCTGCTGCTCTGACCAGTCAACCATGCAGGGAAGCAGGAGGGGCAGCTGGTGCGCAAGATCCGCTGCCTCATCCAGCTGCTAGTGAGCAGCCGAGGTGGCTCCAGACCCCTGGCAGTTCCTCCACCTCCTCCTGCTTCCCTCCTGCTTCCTTCCTTCCGGCCATGCTGATGGGGCTGCTATGATGCAGGACAGCCAGCAGGCTGTGGCTGATGGACACCGTTGGCCCCCATGCACTTGCTGGCCTCTGTGTGTGGGGACCGATGGTGTCAGGCAGCAGATCCAGAATCAAAGCTGTGCTGACCATCCTTGCACTGGTGGGGGCAGCGGCGGCAGGGGAAGGCGGGATCTGGCATGCACCCACCTTTTGCTGCTGCTTCCCCACACGGTCCCACGTGCACCTCTGGGCCGTGCACGTGGGACAATGTGGGGTGGTAGCGGGGAGGGGTGGGCATGTGCCACAGCTCATCTTCCCTCTCCACTGCCTCCACCAGGACGAGGATGGGTGGCACAGCTTCACTTCCAGAACTGCTGCTGGCCAGGCTTGGCGATGCAGAGATCACTGCCGCTGCCTCCTGCTTCCCTGTGTGGTTGGCCAGTCAAGGGGCTCGGAGCAGCAGCAGGAGCACCAGCTGCTTCCCCCCCGTCAGAGCTGCTATGTAGCACCAGATGAGTGCTCCTTTCTAGCCGTCCCAGAGCCGTCTCCACCCAAGCCGATGGGGCTGCTATGATGCAGGACAGCCAGCAGGCTGTGGCTGCTGGCAGAAACTGTCGGCCCCCATGTGCTCGCTGGCCTCTGTATGTGAGGGCTGATGGTGTCAGGCAGCAGCTGTTCTGGCCCGTCTCGCCTTGCCTTGCCCCGCGGCAATTGGCACACCTGCCCTGCCTTGCCTCGCCCCATAGGATGAGCCTCCGGCCCACCACCCCACCTGCCAGAGACCCCTGGATCTCCCCCAACCCTGCCTGGCCCCCACAGGTGTCCCTCCCAACAAGCATCATTGAGGTGGCCACACCCACTGCAGCCACACCCATCCAGTTGGCCGTAACCCCTGCAACCACGCCCACCCAGTCGGCCACGCTCACCCGGCACCCATAAATGGGTTTTGGGTTGCAGTTTGGGCATTCAGTCTCTAAAAGGTTTGCCACCACTGCTCTAGATCATTTATGAAGAAAAATAAAAATGGTAGTTTCAAAAGTTGTAATTGAGGAATTTGATTGTTTGCATTTCTCCTTTGCAAAAATTACGTATTAGTAAGACCTAATGTATTTAGTCATTATGATGGGTGCTTTGTTCTCGGCTGCTCTGTATTTTAATGTTCACATTATTCTAATTATTTGTATTGTTTAAATTTTGTTTGCCATCCAGAGTTACTTAGTGAGATGGGCAGCCATACAAAGGACAGCCATATAAAGCAAACCATTCAATAAAGAATGTTTAGACCTTATGATGGCTAAATTGATTCCGGCTGTTGGTGGACCTCTCTAAATAATCTTCATGCATTTGTTTGCTGACATTCTCAAATAACTATCACACCTTATTTATACAATTCAATGCTTTTAATTTTAGATCTCTCTCTCTCTACTACTGATCTGATTCTAGCCTAAATTTCCATTCTAGTAACATTCAGTAAAAGCATGTTCTATTTTATTTAAAAACAGCATAGTAGTAGATTTCTTGCATAGATAGAAGGATCTTTGAGATCTCTTCCAACTCCCTACAATCTCTCCCAACCAGCAAGAGATTATGTTATTTCACAACACAAAGTCACATTACTTTTAAAGACCGGTTTCCGAGGCTCTTTATAAAACAACACAGAATCAAGAACAGCATAACTGCAGAACAATAAGAGCAGGAATTAAAAACCTGCTGAACCAGTGTTAAATCCCAGGAGGCCAAAAGGTCTTTCCTAGGGGCCAGACGAGTCACCGACTGGGAGTTAGGTGAACCCCACAGATAAGGCAGTTGGGATCAGGGGAGATACCCAAGAACTCCGGGGCTCACGTGGAAGCCTTTCTCTTGCCTGCCAACACGTTAATGCTTCACACTAACGGAAGCCTCTGGAGAAGGGTCTGATGCTGGGAAAGATTGAGGGCAATAGACGAAGGGGTCTACAGAGAACGAGGTGGCTGGATGGAGTCACTGATGCAGCAGGCGTGAGCTTAAATGGACTCCAGAAGAAGGTAGAAGACAGGAAGGCCTGGAGGAACGTTGTCCATGGGGTCGCGATGAGTCGGACACGACTTCACAACTAACAACAACAACGGAAGCCTTGATTATTTTCAGCACTTTGCTTTGAATTTGTTTTTTTTTTACCCTAAGGTAAGTCGGCACAGGTGAAGCGGAAAGGAGCGGAGGGGGTTAGGGTCAGGGCAGAGTTGGCCCTTAGAAGCGCTGAGTAACTTTTAAGGCTTCTGGCAATTCGAGGGCAAGGAAGCGAGCAGGGCATCTCCGGACTCAGCTCCGTCTTAATTTCAGAAAGGTTGCATTTCTAGCCCCGGCTTTCAGCTCCTGGGACAGAGGCGAAAGCGGCGCGGTGAGACGCGGTTCTGGTGCAGCGGCGCTGATGTGATTCTGGACTCTGCAAACACACACGCAAACTCCCGGACACGCGCGCTTGCGCACTGCGCCCTACCGACCCTCAAACCAGGCGACTCCTCTTTAAAAAACCGCAAGGACCCTGTTCGGTGCAGTCCGCTGGACCATGTGATACCTCGGTCGGCAGCGGGCGGGAGAGCAGGCTTCGGGATGAGAGCCGCCTGCCTGCACTGGGGTCCGGATTCACCGCAGTGAACCGCCCCAACTCCAGACGTCCCGGCCGACAGCCGGGCGAGCTGCTTGCGCCCTCAAATGCCAAGAGATACAGGAGCCCAGGGACCGAGCCGCCCGCGAGTAGGATGCTCCCACCCCGTCTCTCCCGCCGCCGCCGCCGCTGCCAGCCTGTCCTGAGTGGGAAGGCTTCGCTTGGAGGAAGAAAGTGCGCGGGGGGGGGGGCAGGTGAGCCTCGGAGCGCGGACGCATTCGGGGCGCAGCGCTTTCTGGCACTTGGTGATCTCGCTTCTTTCTTGGTTGCCTGAAGTCAGAGGATTTAAACTCGTGGTCGGGACCGCGCTGCAGCGAGGAGAGGGTACGCAGGGGGCGCCTTTGTTCTGAGATCAGCTGTAAGCCGGATGGAAAAAAGGCAGGGAGAGGTTGGGGGACAGTCAGATTAACCGGGCGACTCTCGGGGAAAAGTAAGGCTGGGGGGGGGGGGAATCAGGCCGTGGTCGTTCTTCCGATTAACCAGGCTTCTCTCTGAAGGGCGGGAAGATTTGTGCCAGTCCTTGAAAGTGCTTCCCAGCCTTCCCTGCACCTGATGCCTTTCAGATAGATTAGACTTTCATTTCCCTGTGCTTGATAGACAATGTAATCCCTGACGTTTCAACAGCACCAGGCCAGGAATGATGATGCTCCCCTGATATTTTCCCCCAAATGAATGTATTCCAAGTAGAAAACGCAAAAGGGCAGCAGGATCTTAGAGGGTATCTGCATTATTTTGTCATTGAGCCTCGTTTAGCTCTTAGGCTGCATACAACCAATTATTCCTTCAGAGCGTAAAGAGAGGATGTTTCTAAAATGTAATAAAATAAGGATGGTGGTGCGGGGTTTGTGGTAGAGGGAACTCTGCAGAAGGGGAAAAAAACAGCTCAAAGGTGTTCTGGAATGGAAATGGGAACAAGTAATGTTTCAGGATTCATTCAAGAGGTGCCTTTGTTGCTCACATATATTGCAACATTTGCTGGCATATTCCTGAAGCCTTGCTTCCTCTGCCTCCCCCCAATGCATAGTCTTTCCCAGTACAGGTTGAAAATATGCCACACCAGTTTAACGAGAAACTATATAATGGGACAAAAAAGGAACTTGTATAGCATCAAGAAGTCTATATTGTGATAAAGCCTATTCTTTGCTTAATACATCCTCATTTGCATCTCATTTGTTAAGCATAATTTGCATTTCTTCCCTCCAAGGTTGCCATTGTCTCACAGCAGAGTCACATTTTTTTCAAGAATAAAAAGCACAAATTGTCATACCTGGAGTAGTGTAGTTATTCATTCCCTCAGTTATGCTTTCATTGCTGTTGTTACTGACATCGGCAATACATTGCTTGTAATTATTGATGTGATTACTGAATATTAATATGATTAATTACAAATAACACCACTCCTTATTTGCCATTGTTTAGGAATTGTTTATAGTTATTCTGGACTGCTCTGTTTCCCATTTCCTATGAGGACTTGTATATTATCCCCATTTTATTTTTGGATGGAAACTACAGCCAGTTTATGAACTCTACCTATTATTTGGGGGACAGGATACTATATTATATTTATAGGATGAATAAATCTTCTCTGATTGCTACATTTGTAGGAAGAGATGAGAAGATCAAAGAACGGGGTAGCTCATTGGTATTGCATGCAAAATATCCACGTTCAACTCTTCCTGGCATCTTTGATGAAAAGAAGGATGAAATAGACATGCTGTCCATCTATTTGACAGCAGTGCTGACTTAAAATCTATAATAATCACAGGGCAAAAGTAAGATGATTGCCAGCTCAAAATTGTACTATAGCTCATAAATAGAGGGAAAACTGTGATGCTGAATCAAAGTGTTGGAATGATGTTGATGGTTATCTAGATCAGAGTCCCCCAAAGTAATTATTATCAACCTTTAAGGGCCTATGGGACTATCCATATTTATTGTTCATCACACAATTCAGACTGGATTTGGCATTTTTATCCATCTATCAAATCTTTCCCAAGGACTTGGGAGAGGCAGATGGAGATGTTTGATGGTGTCATCGTAGGATGGAAGCTGTTCCAAGTAAAGCTGCTGTTTGTAATTGACTGATGGTGAACTTGTCAATGCCGGTGGTGTTCAAGTAGTGCTCCAGTTGTTTTGGGATTGCACCCAAGGCGCCTACCATGTTTTCCCCAAAATAAGACCCAACTGGAAAATAAGACTTAGCATGATTTTTCAGGATGCTCATAATATAAGCCCTATCTCAAAAATAAGCCCGTTAAGATTGTCAGCCAGACGGAAGCATTTAGTACTGTATTTCCCTGAAAATAAGACCTAACTGGAAAATAATTTTTGGAGCAAAAATTAATATAAAACCTGGTCTTATTTTCGGAGAAACACAGTATTACTATCAGTACTACCTTTGCTTGCTTTTGCCACCATTGGTCTATTTCTATTTGAGGTCTTGTATTTTGTTATTTATTTATTTATTTATTTATGAGACTTATATACCGCTTTAAGTGTGAGCACTCTCTAAGCGGTGTACACCAGTAAGCAATGTATATATATATTTACATTGCCCCCAACAATCTGGGTCCTCATTTTACCTACCTCGGAAGGATGGAAGGCTGAGTCAACCTTGAGCCAGTTGTTAAATCTGGTATGTTATGCAGTGGGTACCTGTCACATTATTGAGTTATAATTATTTGAATACTATTAGTAATTTTTATTAAATTATTCTTGTATAATATATTTGGGAGTTGATGAGCATTCTGAAATTTTATGAAGGAGTGTATGAGCTAAAGAGTTTGGGGTCACCTGATCTAGACCGAGTCCCTGTTTAATTCAGATTCTATAATGCAGGAGAGAACTACAGCAATCTTTAATTAAATACTGTTTATACAAGGGAATCATAACCCATTTCCAGTGGCAGTCTATTCTATCATTATGATTATGAAATAAGTAATGGAATGGAAAATTGGAGGAGGGGTCTTTTTAGGATAAGCCTAAAAAAGTGACAACATAAACATGCTCATGATGCAGGCTTGAGAAATCATGATAAATTGAAAAAAGGGGAAACTTGTTCCGCTGGTAGTCCTTGACTTATGATCATTAATTTCATGATGGTTTGAAGTTACAATAGTCTCAGAAAAAGTGACTGTTCTCAGAATTATGATAGTTGCATCATCTCTGTAGTCATGTGATCATAATTCAGGGGCTTGGCAACTGGCTCACTTTTATGACAATTGAAACATCTTGAGGTCACATGATCACCATTTTCAACCTTTCCAGGATTCACTCAAAAACTGCATAATTTGCTTAATGCCCATGGTAAATATGGTTGCAAAATTGGTTTTTGCATCACTTAGCAACTGAAATTCTGGTCCCAATTGTGGTTATAAGTCAAGGACCACAATAAAATTATACATTTTAATGTTTGAGAAGTGCAAGGTTCTGCCATATTCATCACTTTGCAGCAGACGTGCACAAGTGAATTGGTTTGGATCCAATTCAAAATGCTGGTGATCAGCTTTAAAGACCTTCATGGCTTGGCTGCCAGGTACCTTGAGAACCATCTCACCCATCAAGTTCTGGCCCATCCCCCCTTTTTTTGCAGGGACAGATGAGGGAGGGTCCCCATTCCTTATGAAGTAAAGGGGCAGGGGTGTTAGGAAGCAACAAAATGACACATCTTCCTCTGAAATGCTCTACCTCCTGAGAGATAGGGAATGCCCTGAATCACTTCGCTTTTAAAATTTGGCTCTTTTGCTATGTGCTTGGGACATAATAGTTGCTGGCTGCCTTTTAGGTAAATTGCTTGCTCCTGTTTTTATTATATGCATCCAGTTTTTCTAAATTTCATTCAGTAATAAGCCGTATATGCATTTATGTAATAAATAAACAAATCAGGATCTCCCATGTCATTTGTGGGTCCCAGAGGCCTTCAGCTTATTACCAGTTTGTACTTCTTAATGTAGGAGCATATTTTCAGGTCAGCAGTTGAAATGCTGAGTTCAGTTCTGCTTTTCAGTTCTGCAGTAAGAGAGCCTAAGAAAAGCAGTCTGATCTTGAGTTTGTGTAGTGTGTGTTTCTCTAGTAATGAAAACAAAACAATGCTATTGGGGAAGGGGAGATGCAAAGCTGCTAAGGCCCCATTGCAGCCAAACTTATGAAAGAAGGAGGAAGAAGCTGGCTTGAGCCCAAATACCAAGAAGGCACAATGAAGCAACTTCCCACCAACAAAATAATGTTATGCTGACATGTTCTGTGGAGTTTCAACATGCAAATGAAAATATTCCACTTTTGTGATTTTGGATACATTGCAAATGAGCTGGAAATAAATCACCTGAGAACACAGACTGTATAAGATCATGTAGGTGGTGAACTTATTTTGGAGAAATGTAAATCCCTTATGTGGAAGTGCTTTAGTTAAATAAAATATACATACAAAGTGAAAAAAAAGTTTAACACCGTACTTACTTTTTTGATACTATAATCTTAGGCATTCCACTCAAAGGCAATATGAGGGCCTTTATCCTGAAAAAGTCGCACATGCCAGCTCCATAGATCAACAATGCACAAGTTTATACACGATCTTAAGGGTTCTCAATTTTTCTTTGAAGTAATGCAGTTCGTGCAAAATAGGAGCAAGGGATCAATCACATGAATTTTTGAACACTCCTCCTCATGGACAGCCCTGAAGTAACTCCTTGCTATTCTAATAAAAATTGTGCATAGGGCCAAAGACCTATTAGCCTTCTTCATCATCCTCATAGGAGACACTTTTATGTATATCAGGTATCCATAATCTTTGACTTTGGATGTCTAGCCAATTCACAGGCCTCCCCGAAAGGCTGAGCGCAAAAGAATTGAGGCCTTTGAACTATGGTGCTGGAGAAGACTCCTGCGAGTCCCTTGGACTGCAAGGCGTTCAAACCGGTCAGTCCTAGAAGAGATCAACCCCGACTGCTCCTTAGAAGGCCAGATCCTGAAGTTGAAACTCAAGTACTTTGGCCACCTAATGAGAAGGAAGGATTCACTGGAGAAGAGCCTAATGCTGGGAAAGATTGAGGGCAATAGAAGAAGGGGACGACAGAGAATGAGATGGCTGGATGGAGTCACTGAAGCAGTAGGTGTGAATTTAAATGGACTCCAGAAGATGGTAGAGGACAGGAAGACCTGGAGGAACGTTGTCCATGGGGTCGCGATGGGTCGGACACTTCGCAATTAACAACAACAACAATGTTCTTGTTTGTTGGCTTTTACATATCTGAATAAGTTTAACAGTGTTTTCTCCCTTTTAATTAATTATATTGCTTGTTGCTAAAATATATTGGGTTAATGAATTGTTTTTACAGTTTAAAATCTATCACTTTTTTATTGGGATCATTTATTGAAAATCATGGACAGTAATCTACCACACTGCTATGTTGCAGTTGGTAGATATGTAGCTTTCAACTACCCAGTAAGCTGAGAGAGAATGACTGGTCTATAATCCCTAGCTAGCTTCCTTGGGTAAAGTAAGATTAAAATCTAGGTCTCCTCTAGTGGTCTGCACTAAGACCACTACACCACAGTGACTTAGTTGAGATTATGATAGCAAAATAACAGAAACTCCATTAAATGCAGTCAGGCAGGGATCAGATTGGTAAAACAAAATGTTGGGAGATAAGCCTGCACACCCCAGTCTCTGCATTATTTTCTGAGTGTGGCTTTCTCTCAGGTAATCAGACATGTGAAGAAGTCCTTCCATGGAGTTGTTGCATTTTGGGATTTCTTTGCTCTTGAAGGCAAGGAGGTAACAATTTTGTAGAGCGGATGCAAAATATTGTAAGTCGCAATATTACAGATATCAATGTAGGTGCAGGCATTCAAGAAGAGTGATCTTTTCAAGGAAAGTTTCATGGGATTGTGAATCAGCAGTGTCCTCTAGATGTTATCAGTTGAACTCTATGCGATTGCTGAACAGAATGGATGGGATCAAATGAAGCAGCAAGGAAGAACTCAGCCTTAATTGTAGCAATCTGTTTGATGGAAGAAAAGTTTTTCTATGCAATAATTCGACTCATATTACATATTCAATATGTAAAATTCTTGGTGATAGATTGGAGTAGGGCTGCTTACACAAAAGGCTGTAATTTTGCAGGATTTAAAATGTAGACTTCCCCTGCACAAAAACTCTTGTAAGATTTAATAAATACAGATAGTGAAAAATGTGTATATTTGCGTATATATTTTCCACATTCTATAAAGTAACTGGATAGCTTGAAATTCTGTAGTACTTATTGTTGACCATATCTTATGTCTCCATTAATCATTTCAGGCAATTTAAAGGTCTGCAGCTAGTGAGCATCACAACACCATGCAGAACAACGCTGTTTATATCTTCATAGAGGTGCTGATTGCCCTTATATCCATCCCCGGGAATATCCTAGTGATCTGGGCTGTCAAAGTGAACAAGTCTCTCCGGGATGCCACCTTCTACTTTATTGTATCTCTGGCAGTGGCAGATGCAGCTGTGGGAACACTTGCAATTCCTCTGGCCATCGTCATCTACATAGGACCAAAAATATGTTTCTACAGCTGCCTGATATTGATATGTCCTCTCCTCATCCTCACAGAAAGTTCCATCTTGGCGTTATTGGCGATTGCTGTGGATCGCTATCTCCGAGTCAAGATTCCTATCCGGTAAGAACTAGAGCCCTGAGAGATAAGTCCTAGTCAGAGATGGGAGTTGAATTTTTTCATATATCTCTAAGATTGTGTTGCACAGCAAGGAACTAAAATTTCAAAAATGTCAAGAACTATTTCTTTTCAAAATCATGTTTCATTGAACTTTGTTAATAAAGCTTTAATACATTTGTCCAACCCATGGATGACCATTGGATTGACATCTGCTTTATATAAAAATAAAAATAAGCAAAGTCAATGGGGAAGCCAGATTCACTTAATGACTATGTTACTAACTTGACAACCGCAGTGATTCACTTAACAATTTTGGCAAGAGATATTGTAAAATGGGGCAAAATCTACTTAACAACTGCCTCACTTAGCAACATAAATTTTGGCTCAGTTTTGGTTATAAGTCAAAGACTACCTCTATTACAAATAAATTGACAACATTATGAAGCTATTCCATCTTTTCTTCCCCAATGGAATATTATGGAAAACATATAAAAAATTCAATGGAAAAATGTAGTATTGTTATAAATGGATAATGATGTTCTATAGACCTCTTTTAATAATTCATAAATGAGGCACTACATTGAGGTATTAAATTCTTACCTGAACCTGTTCATTCTCCTTTGCATTGGCTTTGTTTTGATTTCAGTTCTTTCTGGTGTTTGGTGTGTTATATGCTAAATATTAGGCCTGGATTATGTTCTGATTATTCTGTGTATGACTTTTCTAAATAATTCCAGATAAGAAATATTGGGAAATCCAAATATAATAAGAATAAGACTGTCTGATTTGAGAGAAAGATTCTGTCACTCTTTGTGAAGTTGGGAAGCAAAATATTTTTAACTGTATTCTGACTAGTGGGTTTCTTGAACAAAGGATAAATAAAGGATGCCAAGAAGGGATGGTAGGGAAGTAATAATACTGGGAAGAGAACAATGGTGAAAATATGTTTAAGAACAGAGATCTTTTTTTAACCACATTGGTCAGTTTCCTCTTCTAAGTACAATTAAGCAATAATTCATGTATGCAATTATGAATGTATGTGAAAAAATTTCAGTTTCCATTTTACAGCCAATTTGATTTTGATACAGGAAATGGAGGAAGCTAAAAATGCCTGGAGATGAATCCTGGATTGGGATCAAACTGTAATAAATGGATATTTACTGGCACTGGGTTGGAGTTAGGGAACATATACATTATTCTCCCAATTACTAATTCTGCAAAAGATAACATATTGATATCAATTTAAATAGGACATATAACTATTGGATTTTAAAAAATACATTTTGCTATCCTTTCAAATACATCCTTTTGAGTGTGTAAGTGAGAAAAGGATGTTATCATGCATTAATTAACACTGAATAAAAGGATGTGATTTTATCTATATAATTAATGGATGGTTTTGGGATCTTTAAAATCTGCTTATATGCAGAAATTTAGCGTTGTAGATTTTTTTAATTTAGGAAAAATATTACATACAGAATTTGTTTTTTTTTTATTGAAAATTTTTAAATTTTACAAAACAAATCCCTTCCCCAAACCCCCACCCTCCCATACCCTCCCCCATCTTCCCCAAACCTCCCATATCCTCCCTCAATCTTCCCAGAGCTGAGTACAGGCTTAATTAAAATTTTCAAAGAAAATAAAAAATAGAAAAAAACTTAAAACACATATAAATCCTAAACAAATCTAAATACCTTAAATTAAACAAATTATCTTCTCTAAAACATAATAGTTGCAAACATTAAACACACATTATAATATACTTTAAACATTTTCTAGTATTGTACTTATATTATTATCCATCATCCTATATAAAATCCCCAAAACACAATTTTAAACATTACTTTCTTTAAATATCTATACCTACAATATAAGATCTAATCTCCCTCTTTCTTTACTCTAGAGCTCAAAAATAAGCATATAAACATTCATTATACCATTAAGACTGGATACTCTCTTGAATAGTTAAACTAAATACTTATATTTAAACTTCTTATCTAAAATTTTCATTCAATCTCCATAATCTTCTCTCCTATCAAGAAAAGAAAAAACTTAAAAAACATATAAATCCTAAACAAATCTAAATACGTTTAATTAAACAAATTAACTTCTCTTAAAAATAATAATAATAGTAGATCCCATAAACATAACTTAAAACATTAAAATTCCCTTATACCTGTTTAAATCTTTACCAATAACAAATTCCTCCACAGTAAACACATTCCTTCTCTTATCCATAAACCTCTTAAAGGTAATTCCCAAAAGTTTGTAAATCTTAATTCTCCCACAATCTCAATAGTCTTCTAAATACTTAAACTAAGTACTTAAACTTAAACTTCTTATCTAAAATTTTCATTCGATCTCCATAATCTTCTCTCCAATAGCCAGTTCCATCCACTGTGAACACAATCCTTATCAGTCTCTCTTGTCCATAAATCTCGAAAGAAGTACTTTAAAATCTGGCCTTAAAGGTAGCTCCAAAAAATTTGTAAGTCCTGGTTCTCCCACAAACTCAGGAACCAATACTTGTGAGGCTTCCTTAACCTCCTTCTTCTGTTGGTCTTTCTCTTTACGTTTATATGTTGCACAAGTTGTCCTCTGCTCTTTCATCTCGACTTGTTGAGGCCCCTCAGACTGAAATTTCCCATTTTTAATTAATATAGGCTCTTCACACTGCAATTCTGCCCTTAAAGGTTGCTCCAAAGAGTTTATAAATCCTACTTCTCCCGCAGATTCAGGAACCAATACTTGTGAAACTTCCTTGACCTTCTTCTGTTGATCCTTTTCTTTACAATTGTATGTTACACCGGTTGTCTTCTGCTCCTCCATCTCTACTTGTTGAGGCCCCTCAAACTGAAGTTTCCCAGTTTTCATAAGTGTAAGCACTTCAGATTGCAATTCTGCCTTTTTATCTTCCAAAGCTTTAAACGTGATAGGTGGCGATGAGCATACCCCCAGGACCGAAGTATAAAAGTCTTTTGCTTTAGAAACAGTATTAAGACTATAACGTATCCCCAGGTAATTCACCACCATTCCAGTCGGAACATCCCATCTAAACAAAATTTCTCTCTTTTTAAGTTCGTCTGCTAAAAAAGCAAACTCCTTCTTCTTAAAATTTTAGATGGGATCTCCTTTAAAATTATAACATTTTGTGAAGCAATTTGAAACCTCTTCTTATAAAAAGCTTGTATAATTTCATTGCGCAGGGATCTTTTCCCAAAGTAAATTACCACATCTCTTGGCAAATTCTTTTGCTCTGCCACCACAGAATTAACTCTAAATGTCTGTTCAATTTCACTAAGTATTTCCTCTTTTTCTCTATTCAAAATCACAGCAAAGTCCTTTGCAACCATCTCTCTCAGATCTCCTTGCACAGACTCACCCAAACCTCTGATTCTTAAAGCATATTCCATTTGTTTATATTGAAGCATGAGAATCTCATCTTGAAAATTTTTCATCTCTTTTTCCATACTTTCAAATTTTTCCTCCATCAATTCCACTTTTTCTACTACTTCTTCTACGCGAGAATTCAACTTTCAAGAACAGAGGCAACTCCTTTTAAAGCCAAAACTATCTCTTGCCTCAAAGTCTTATTGTTTTCCTCTAGAATCTCTTTCATTTCTTCCCTAATTTGAAGTATAACATCTCCCATCATATCTTGCAAATCCTTCACCATTGTTGACTGTGGCAAAGAAGAAGATGAGGCTATTAATTTAGGTTGTTGCACTGATGATGAGACCAAAGAAGAAGCCACTTTAGAAGCTGTAGGGATTACTGGACGCTTTGGAGCCATCTTAAAAAAATCTTTACTCCTTCTTAGAAATTGCAAAAATTAAACAAAGGAAAAAAAGAAGTTAACTCCATAAAATCAAAAAAAAAATCCTTCAAGAGGAGATCATTATAATAAAAAGAAAAGGAGTTCAAAAAAAAAGAAAAGAGAGAAAGAAAAAAGAATAATTAAATAGAAAAAATCCATTCCATTTTTTTTAAAAAATACAAAAAGTACAAAAAACAAACCAAAAAAGTACAAAGATAATAATACTAACACTCCATTCCAATCATTAAAAAAAAAAAAAAAGGGAAAGGGAAAAAAGAAACCCCAAAAAGCCTGCCGGTCGCCATTCTACCTTCCGAAAAAAAAACCGAAAGGCTTGCCGATCGCCATTTTACTTTCCCTTTCAACAAAGGAAAAAAAAATAAAAAGAGGGAATATAAAGGTAAAAATAAATCTTTGAACTTAAAATCCAAATAAAATCAAAGAAAGCAAAAACTAAATCCTCTACTCAGCTCTGTCCGCTTCTAAAAAAAACTCACCAGTTAACTTTAATCGCGGAGGTGGTTGCAGCGGCTTGTTTTGTCCCTAGGGACAAAAGCAGCTGGGAAGCGGAGACCGTCTGAACTCCGTGGGAGCTCTCTTTTCACCCCCCCCAAAAAAACTTTGGGGGTGCATAAGAGGCTCTACCACTATTCAGACACCTCTCTACCCCCCCCTTTGCCCGGGAGGGGGTTTTTGAACCGCTGAACAGCTGATGTCCGCTGTTCATAGCGATTCAAACACTTACCCAGGAGGGCGGCTACTAAGTAGCCGCCATCGCACGCGCAGATCCACCGGAAGCCCCGCAGATCCACCGGAAGCCCCAGAATTTGTTTATGGGTATATAAACATAAACAGCCAAGGGAGTGAGGAAATGACAAAACAAATGCCTCTTATCAGTACAATTTTAGAGTTAAAGAATAGTGGAATGAATAAACAAGATTACAACTCAATCTAATAATATCTGTAATTTTGTAATGCAGTGCTCAGCCTTTACCATGTATAAATCTAATCAAATTTCAACAGTGAAATGAGATTGTTTCCTACACTTGTCAGCCTCAGGACTGCAAAACACATGGCACATACTGCTCTTCCTACATCGTATAACTAAAGTTGTAAAAGTATTGTCACAGATCTTGCTGGTAGCAAATATGATGTCCATGCCAGTTTGCAAGAACAACGTTCAGCT